GATCGTAGCCACCGTCTTCCCCGTAACAGACGTAGCCGTGATGCGTCGAGCCACCAACCACACGCGAAACCTGTTTTGATTAGCAGCTGTCAGCTAACTCATAATTAGCCGTTTCTCTGCTTGAAATATTTGGCGTGATACTGTGCATGTCTGTAATTCCGAGTATCTAAAACCAAACTGGCGGATGAAATTATTTCATAATTTTAATGCGAAATACCTGTTCGATTTATCGAGGAATTATACCGTGAAGCGAAGCTTGATTCGTCTTTATCGGTATCTTCGAACAGTCGCTAAACAGGCGATAAATCATCCGATTGCGACAACGCGACTTCGTCTTTTCCCGCGAATCGCGTTCGAACTGCTTCTTTACAACGTTATCGGAACAATGGCGTTGCTAGGCTGGAAACAAGATTGTTTCACTGCAATACGGAAGTACGCGACGATACAGACCGTCGTTAACGTCAGATTTTTTCGACACGGAAACACGGTCGATCAAAGATAAAGTATGGAACAATGATACCGGTTGTCGCGATACTTCGCAAACCTTTGCCGTGATAGTTCTGACAATATCCTCGTTCTTGATGCAACGTCTAACGTCCTAATAATTTCACCATTTCCGATCTCGATTTCGGAACAATCGACGCAAACGACGGGCCGCGGTTTAATCATGTCGACTCGTGTGCTCCATAACAGAAATAGAAGCTGGTTAATGCAATGCAGCGCGGATGTGTTACGAGACAATTCTAAGAGGCAGACGAGATCGTTTCACGGCGATAAAGAGGGCCGGTTACGTCGAGAAGATCGACCGAAGGTATACGTTCGAGAGGAGGTTGCACGAGAAACGAGCTGTGAGCTGAGCCTGGAATCACGGAACACGAACGACCTTACCGTGATTGTGACGCTATCGACTGAGAATGATTTACACGGTCGTTTCTTTCGTCCTAGCCGAGATACTGTCCTGCGCACGCGATCATACGCATACAGATCTCACGGGCAAGATCCCTGTTAGAATTAATGGATTACTATTCATGCCTGTCCCATCGTTACCGGGTGCTACTTCGTATGTACCGAAACGATCGTAAGATACCGATTTATTGGAATTTAATAGTCTTATCGATCATTGCCGCTTAACAGGTTTAGGTTTAAAAATGATTCGACGATAGATTGAAAGGATTCTGTATAGTTCTGCATAGAAGGACCATCAGTTATTCGAGTTTAAGGGAGAAAAGCGAGAAATCGCGCACGCTCAACTTACAGAATTAATCGGTCACGAGCACACACCACAATTTGTCAGGCGCTTGAATGTGTCGTTTGCTAAAATTCGTAGAAATATCGTTCCCAGTATTCGCCGACTATTTATCAACAAGCTGTATATGGCTATAATAACATGGTGGACGTTGTAACATTAATTAGATCGAACGCGAGTTGATTGGTTCGCGTAGATTTTGTGGGACGTTCGTTCCTCGTTTTCGCTCCGTCGCGGTCGCGGCATCGTCGTACGTACATTCTTCCTCGCGCTCCTTCGAATATATCTTGTTCCCAAGCGGAAGATGAGTTTCCATACGGTTTGATTTACGCGTAGTAAGCTACCTCGGACTTAATTGACATCTGCGACGTGAGCTTCGCGAGAGGCGTTCACATTTGTAAACGAATCATGGCCCGTTTAATTATCTAAGCTAGAATCGAAAGGTCTGTCATGCAACACAGTCGTCCGAGTGCGCTTCCAACCGCAACGTCCATCCAGTTCATCTAACCTACCGTTTTTCTGGCCGTGTCTCCAGGAGTAGCGACTAGGAAACAAGAACAAAAGCCGCAGTCCCGTACATTGTTCGTTTTATTTATGAGCCACAGCTTATTCGTATCAAATCGTTCCGGTTCGTTAAACAGATCCTTATTTCTCTGTTATCGATCTTCGAGAGCGGGATGCGAGCTGGCCGTGTTCCTCTCCCGGCTTCTCGTTTCGTGGACAAAAATCCAAGGAGCAGCATCCACCCGGTCGGCATGCATCCTTGCCGTGGTTCACCGACCCGCATATTTCTCCCTCCCCCTCCCCTCCCGCTCTTTCCCTGTCACACTCTTTCCTTCCTTTCCCCCTCACAGTCTCTCTTTTCCCCTCGATCCTTTCTCCTTTCCTTCGTCTCTTTCCGTTGCTCTCATTCCCTCTCGTTGGAGCAAGTGGCGGGCATCCACTGTACACCATACTCCGCATGCATGCACGCGCTAGCTCGTGCGACCCGTACATCTTCCACAGGGATATAATTCGATCTGCATTGTTCACCAATCGCCCCCTGACCAGACTGGTCGCTCCTCTATTGGCATAATTGATTCACTTAATCGCGTTCGTGGGAGTGACGGACACCTCCTTCAGCCGCCCATCAACGCCGCTAATCACACGTCCATTTGACCAACCGACGTCCGCTTCAAGGAAGAATCTCATTCTCTTCTTCTCCTTTGCTCTTTCGTCTGCTCTCTTTCGACTACTTCGGTCGTTTTCTTTCTTCGTCTTCACGCTCACGTTCTTCCCGTTCTTCCACTTGACGAGCTTTTGTGCTCTCTTCTGCTTGTTATCGTACGCACGAGGACTATAATAGTTTTTCTCGTAATCTACGTTTTCTTGCCTCCGTTCCTCCGACATAGACTTTTCTCTTTCTCGCGCGCGCCTCTGTTAATCAATGCCGACAATTTTATGCGACGCGATTCGGACCCATAAAATCTATGGCATACGGCAGTCTGGCTTCTCCTTTGAAATCTTTAGCGACCCACGTTGCCAACCCGTATCTCGTATGGTTCAAGGGGCTCTAAAATGTTCTATACTTCAGGAGAGATCGTGCACACCTTTCTCTCTCTCTCTCTCTCTCTCTCTCTCTCTCTCCTCTCTCTCTCCTCTCTCTCTCTCTCTCTCTCTCTCTCTCTCTCTCTCTCTCTCTCTCTCTCTCTCTCTCTCTCTCTCTCTCTCTCTCTCTCTCTCTCTCTCTCTCTCTCTCTCTCTCTCTCTCTCTCTCTCTCTCTCTCTCTCTCTCTCTCTCTCTCTCTCTCTCTCTCTCTCTCTCTCTCTCTCTCTCTCTCTCTCTCTCTCTCTCTCTCTCTCTCTCTCTCTCTCTCTCTCTCTCTCTCTCTCTCTCTCTCTCTCTCTCTCTCTCTCTCTCTCTCTCTCTCTCTCTCTCTCTCTCTCTCTCTCTCTCTCTCTCTCTCTCTCTCTCTCTCTCTCTCTCTCTCTCTCTCTCTCTCTCTCTCTCTCTCTCTCTCTCTCTCTCTCTCTCTCTCTCTCTCTCTCTCTCTCTCTCTCTCTCTCTCTCTCTCTCTTTATCTTAACGGAAATTCAATTTAGACATCTTCGCGGCGCGTAGGTACGCGTATCGCAACCGAGCTATATTAACCGATATCGTTCGATCGATAAATCGTAATCGTCGTAATTATGGAGAGCATACGCTCATAAAACTAGCATCATGCTTATCTCTGGCCGTATTCGGTTATTAACGTGCTTTGGCTCCCCGCGAAGCAGGAAGGAGTGTAACTCGATTATTACACGGAAAAAGGGTATAATATCAGCGATGTTCGCGGCGTCTTTGTGAGATACGGTGGCCGAGAACAGGAAGAACCACGGTCCCCTATATTACAATGCATATCGGCACTATCTCGTTCACTTTGTGAATTCGAGCGCAGATTCTCGGATTCAGCAAGCTACGAATTACCGTGGCAGGCGAACGGGATATCGGGCCGTTCGCCCTGATCGCGCGCGATTCCAGCAAATTGTATCCCGAGGAGAGTCTAACTCGATCGTTACGCGAAAGGAGCCGTCCTAGCCATTGCGATCCCTCCAAAAAAATCTTTACGAGCTCGAACGGATCCCGTCCGTCGTTCTTTCTCTGGCGTGGCGCACAGCGGTACGAAGCGTATGCGCGCGCGATGCGTGACCGCGATCGTAGATAAATTATCGAGTTGCGAGAACAGAGAACGAATCGTCCATTAAGCTCGTATTGTTCACTTGACATTCCGGTAACGACTAGAACGTACCGGTCTTGCAGAGATCTCTTAGGATCGTATGTATTTTTGCACTCTCGTACGTGGCATTTTCCGTGCACATTGCATATATTATCTCGGGCTAGAGAGAAGAAACCAGGCGAACTTTATATCTCAAAAAGTTATTCCGTGCGTCTGCCGATTAGTCACGTGACCGAGCTGCGTTTAAATTATTCTCTGGTTACGTTTAGCTGTCCGCTTTATCGGCATCGATGTAACTGCTCCTCGCGTCTTCTCCTCCTGTCGGTTATCTTTAACTGTACACCTCGATTTTATAATTTGTTACATATTATGCGAGCCGGTGTAGAACGACCGCAGTAAATCCCGTGTGCTGTTGACCCTGCGATCACTGGACCGAAACCAAGCCAGCGGACCCGGTGCAGTAGAGATATCTGCGCGGAGGGTCAGCAGGAAGCAATTAAAGTTTCGACAGAATCTCTGGGTTTAACGTTACCATTACACGTGGTTGCCACAAAAAAAGATTAGAGGACGATCCAGAAGGATCGAGAGACGAGCGCGGTCTATTCGCTTCTTCCTTTCCGGTTTGCTCGATTATTTTTAACTCGACCTTTCACGCTCCGGGATGAACACGATCCACGCGCAGATCCGCAGAACGCGGTTTTTTGATGCGATGCATCGTCGGTGCAGAAACGATCTAGGCTCCAATTACCAACGTTTCCTTTGATTCTTCGCAGGTATTTATCTTCTGCCAGTCACTTTCTTTCTTGGGCTTGCGCGTTCACCTTTCCATTGTAATTATGCCATTATGGCTAACGCTTACCGCTGGTTTAATAAAGAAGACCTTATACGTCTTGATGGCTCGCTATAAACCCAAGTAACAGTAAATGGCATTTCGTTTTACGATACCGTGTTGTACTTGGTCGCGAAAGGAGTAGCTGCGCTTGTTACTTTCTTTTCCCGAGAGATTGATCAAATGCTAACGAGGTCTTTCACAGTCTCTTGTACTAATTTCTGCGCAGATTTCGTGACCGGCGCCTGTCCCCGAATATGTCCGCCAAGCGGTGAACCAGTCTGCGGTAGCGACGGAGTGATCTACGCGTCCCAGTGTGAAATGCGGAAGAAGATGTGTGGAAAAGGTAAGGGGCCCCTTTTAACTGCGTAATAATTATGATTAGAAGATGCGTACGTGCGGTGAGGCATCGTCAGCGATTATCCAGTTGGTTTACAACGTCCGTCGAAGGGATGCATCGTCGACCAGCATCGAGACACTTGGTTCGTTCCCTCGTTTCGCGTGCTGAACGACCTTAAATCCTACTCCCCGGATGCCATTAACGATAATCTGTTAAGAGTAAACGCGGTACATTTCGCGCATCCGATGCAAC